GGGGGAGTTAGAGGGGTAATATGAGTGGAAGAGTAGAATAAATCGGTGAAGTGCAAGAACGCCGGGGCCTCGTGTGTACTTCATAATCAGTGAGACAATTTTCATCTCAATTCAATTTTAATTTGTCTCTCATGTGGCTCTGGTATTATTTTTCGGCTTTGATGAGATGAATTGAAGATGGATTGATAACTGTGATTAAAATAGTGAAATCGTTGAATGGTGGGGGGAGGGAGTTAAGAGTCGCGATGTACAAATTCATCTGAGTTGCATATGAGAATGAGATTTGTGGATTGAGTGGCACAAAATGGACGAGGATTAGTGCTTTGATGGGATTTATTGAATGAATTTTATTGGTCTTAGAGATTCTCGAGCGTTTGTCGTTGAATTTTTATTCGGGCTGTTTTAGGGCAGGCGTTTCAGTTGCTCTCTCATTTTTTTTTCACCTCTCTCTTTTCACGAGATATTGGAGGCAGGACGTGACGCTGGGCGGTGAGAGACGTTGAAAATGGCTCGTGTTACGTGTCTCCTATAAACACACGCGGATTTACATGAATTTTAAGGGATTTCCGGGGATTTTTTTGAGGTAATTGGCGAGCTTTTTGGCGGGTGGAGGTAGGCGAATTTCGAGGTTTGAGAGAGACAGGTGAGTGATGGTTTTCGTATTTATTTTTTGCCATTCATAGGTTCTTCCCGGGGATTTAATGATTTTTGGGGGTTGCGGGAGACTTTTTGGGGGTCGGCTTTTCCCAGTGTTTTGGTTTTTTTTGTTTTTTATTTTGTTGTTTTATGTGTTGAATGTGGAAATTCCAACGCCAAAGGCGCTCCGGTTGGCTTGATAGCTGCGGCTAGTACTCGAGGCACGATTTGTTGGCCCTCTTTTGCTTTTTAAACCGAACCAACGAGAATTTCTCGGGCTGACTCTTGGGTGCTCTACGAGGCAAGTTGTAATCGTTGGGTAGTTTGGAGAATTCATCGTCTTCACGGGTAAGGGAAATATGTTTTGGGAAAATCTGGCTTTCAGGGGTTTTTCATGGATATAGATTTTTTGGGGGAATTTCGGGGGGTTGAGACATGTGATTCGATTGCATTTAGTAATGGGATTTTTACAATATTTATTCGTCAATTTCATTTGTTAATAAATTGTGATAATTCCGGGATTGACGTTGTGTGATTGGCAAATAGGGGTGGGGTGAGGGGATTCAAGGACGATGTTTGAGGGCCTGGAGGTCCTTTAAATTGTTAACAGCTGATCGTTAGAATAAATCTGGTTCTTCGGAGATTTGCCATTTTTTTAAAGGGGTTTTCGAATTTGTGTATGGTGGAAGTTGGCTGAGTGGGGGACACATGGAGATAGGAATTTTGAGGGATTTTGAAAAAATTTTTACATGTGCTCGGGAAATGGAGGTTACGAGGAGAACGCAGCATGGTAGCGTCCCGGCGTTCACATGCAAGCACAGTTAAATGATTTTTTTTGCTATTGTTTGCTTAGGTTCTTTTGATTCTGTTTTTTCTTTCTAGCAATTTGCACTTCCATTTTTCGATTTCGACCGGCAATTTTTCTGGTCTATCCGGTCGTGAATGAAATTTTCTTTTCGATTATTCTGGAGAGACACTAGTGAATTATTTGTATGAGACGAATGGAGTTACTTTAAATTTTTATCAGTAAATTTGATATCCTAAGAGTCGAATTAAGAATTCACAATTATACCATTGTTTGGTTTCTTCTCTCTTTTTTGGACAGGAAAATGGGTTAGATTGTCGAAGAGGATTCTGCTAGAATGTAGCAATGTGCTTATTCAAGAAAAAATTATCATTGTTTGTGGCAGAAAAGGTTCTCTCATCTTATTTATCTTTTTGGGCTTTAATAACTTGAATGTTTTGGTTTCCAGAATTTTTATCCTTCAAAAAATTCTTTTTGTATTCGGAAATCTCAAGGATAATTATAAGATTTCTTTTTCTTCGTCGCTTAACAATTGCTAATTTCTTGATGTGAAGTAGTGATTTAATTGCTGATATATTCTTATTTCTTTGTGATGGTCATAATTTTTTATTTCAGCGAAGGGTTGCGTCAAATGGCTTCTTCTAATTTTTTTGTGTAATATCTAGAACACAGATATAAATTTATTGATTAGAATTCATCAAACGCTATTTGGAAATTAAAAATGTCCTTTCTACTCCAAAAATATCACTTTCATCTATTTCATGTGAAAAGAAATAACTTTTAAGAACCTTGGGAAAAGTCAAGAGCTGTAATTTCACCCTTACCCCTGAGCCATGCGAGAGAATGTTGTGAAATAATCTTATTTTAGGAAACAAGTGGAGTAGATATGTAAAGTGGGAGTGCAAGATGTTCGTAATATTTCTAAACGCAATAAGAACTGACTGAGTTAAAAACTTATTGCTGTTTCACAACTTTTCATATCTGTCACAGATTTCTGACAACCTGTAAATCATATTGACCCGAAAAAAGTTTTTGTTGGTCAGCCAATGGTTTACAAAGTCTCACGATTTTCGTACGCCATTTCTGAACGTTTTGATAAATTCAGGGAATTTCAGAGAGAGTTTAGAAAAATTGTCACCCGATTTTGAAAGTTGATGACAAGACAGCATACGTCCTTATGCCACACATTAACTACATCATTTTTCAATTATTCAATTTCTATTCTTATTTATTACACATTTCCTCATCACATTCTATCACCGTCACGCTATATAATTAGTTGCATTCATTTTATTAATTTTCTCCACAAGATAAAGGTTTATTTTTCCAACTATTCCATTAAAAATTCATCACATTTGATTTGTCTAAACTCAACACAAAAAAAGCATTCAAAAAGAACATTGCGTTGTATCATACATCTCTCTCCAATCAATTTCCAAAAAAACACCTGTAAAAGAGAAGATTTATTTTCTAATCTCATTCATTGGACCTAATTTCAATTATTCCAATCTATGTCTATTCTTTCTACAACGAAAATAAGTTCATCATGACAAATGAAAAAAGGAATGTTCAAAGGAATATAATTCTATTATCATGACGAAATGATACATTTAATGATTTTTTTCGATGTTGTCTTATAATTTTAATATCGGGAGTATAAAATTCATAGGAATTTACGAGAGAGTAGAAATAACCGATAAAATATTCGACGATAAGACGATCCTGTTAGGATAGCTCTCAATCCCCCTGGAAATCCCATTTTTTCCATTTGAAATATATTACATAAATATTCGCGGAATCTCCACCTGTGTGGGTTGACCAATCGTCTCCATATCGCCTACTCTGCCCTCTCCATATTCTGTTGTGACCATTTTGCCAATGGAAGGAAGTAGCGACTGTTCCATACATTAAACACTTTCAACAAACTTTATTACTCCATAATATTTATTGTAATAAATCAATTAGATGGCGTAACGAAATGCTTCATCCCACAATTTTCAGGTTAATTTTGTATACAACTGTGACCTTGACGTAGACTGATATTTTGAGGGTTAGAGATTATTTGATCTCCAGTATCAATTTGCAAAGAAAATGTCAATCAACGAGTTATCGCAGGAATTTATTTATCTCTTGAATTTTTTCATTTTTACAGAATCTCCAAGACGATAAAATGCCACGTGTTAGGAGACAAGTTGTCCTGGAGGACCCGTCCAGGCCAGTCACACCAGACATGGCACAAAGAAAACTAAGTAATTAATAAAACAATTAAAATGTCTTAATGAGATCTGTTCAAATGGTAAAACAAGATAAAGAAAGGAGAAAATATAATAAAATAGAATGCTGTCTTCACATCGAAAGAGTAAAAAGTAATTTTCAGCGATTTTTGTGAAGAAATTTTGAAAATGGAAAAGAGATGGATATTTATTCTAATTATTAAAAAAATATCGTCTCTTATAAACTGAGGGTTGAAGCAATTCTTTTTATTCCGATTAAAAAATAAAATCTGTCAATTTACATTTACTATTTACAAAAAAGAATCGTTTAAAACAAGATAAGTATTTGCACGTCACCTTGAGTTTTTATTTATATTTTTATAGTCTTCTGGTAGGTGAATTACCAAATTAAATATAAATGCCATAACAGTCGGTATATATAGAATACCTTATTTATATATTTCTTGAGACTCGCATTTTTTTAGTACCAAAGGAGTTAGTTCTGTATTGTTTGTTATCAGTTAAAAAAATTATTCATGAAATCATAGCATAGAAAAATATTCTTTAAAAAATTCACTATCTCTATTGTATTTTTAAATAATTTGAAGGAAAAATAAGAAAAAAGTCTCTAAACTATTACAGAAGAATATTCAAAAAGCATAACAGAATCACAACATTCATTATTCATAAGTTGAAGCTTTTGTTTTAAATCAGCAACGAAGCGCAAAAAGGGATTAGGTAAAAGGGTGAGTTTTAGAGAAGAGTCGAATATGTATAAGCACTTTTTTTTCGTGCTATTGACAAGAAAAATTAACTACATAACTGGACCTGAATAATGTGTCATAGATACATTGCACTCTGAAGAATGAATTTCAGCAATGCACTCATTAAAAATTTGGGTTTCCGACTTCATCCCTCTACCGCTTCGCTACTGAAATGATACGTGTTCTGTTATTATCTATATTCGCCAAATGCCTAATGAAACAAGTGTCTTCACACGAAGGAATTTATTTATGTTTATGATTTAATGAAAAACACTTGAATTAATATGGGAATCACTTGAATTTGCCAAGTAAAAACAGAATTCAACGGAGATGGATCCCTAGAGGGTCAAGTGCAAAAAGTGGCTGAAGAAACACCAAGTCCCCACTTGCAGGACCACCAATACGGCCAGACCCCGCACTACCAAATAACAAGACGTCCTGCCCAGCCAGTGCCACGTCCAGAGCAGATCTCAGTTCAAGCAGTAAAACGACGTCTAAACCTCGAAGTCGCCGCCTCAGCCCCAGTCCCATCAACCTTCAAAGCACCCAGAGGTAAACGTCGAAGATCGGGTTCCAACTCCTTTACTCATACACCAGCTAAAAGCAAAACAGTCGAGAGGACGCGGTACGACACATCATTGAGTCTTTTAACTAAAAAATTCATAAATCTCGTGGAAAGCAGTAGTGATGGTGTTGTTGATCTCAATGTGGCGTCTGAAAAGTTAGAAGTACAAAAGCGAAGAATATACGATATTACCAATGTATTAGAAGGCATTGGAATACTTGAAAAAAAGAGTAAAAATAATATACAGTGGAAGGGGGGACAATTACCGGGTGAACAAAATGACATATTAGAGTTAAGGAGAGAAGTAAATGATTTGGAGGCCAAGGAGAATGCATTGGATCGATTGATACATGGAGCTGAGGAGAGATTACGTGAATTGTGCGCTGATAGGCAATTTGCCTATGTGACTTATCATGATTTGCGATCAGTTCCTGCTTACAAGGATCAGGCCATTATGGCGGTTAAGGCACCTCCTGAAGCGACACTTCATGTACCACAACCAATCAATAATTTGGGGCAGCCTAAATTGCAGATCCATATGCGATCGTTATCTGGCGAGATCGAGGTCTTTCTGTGTCCTGACGATCCTGCTGTTAAGGTTAATAGTCCTGGTGGAGATGCGGCACCATGCGTCATACCCAAGGAGTTCATTGTCGAGGGGGAGCGAAAGAAGGAAAGAACAGAGTCCAAGAGGAGGTATCAGGTCACCAAGAGGGAGACTGTCGATGATGATGAGGATGCTGTTGCGTCGACTTCGTCATCTGGCATGAGAGATGCTTTGCTCAGTGAGAGTGATGACTTTGGTCCTATGGGAGGAAGCAGGTTTCAATTACAGACTGAGGATCAAAACCCAACGACAGGTAATTGTCTTTCTAATGTTTTTATTGGTTTTGGGGCTTTTCTCTCAACAGGCAGATGGAGATTTTTTTCAGGGACATTGAGGGCAGTAATGACCTGGCTTTTGGAAAAAGGTGGCTGATAGATTACTATGAATTGATTTTGAGGATTCGTTGTGGGTAAGGGAAATGGGAGGGACTTCGTTTTGAGTTCGTGTCGATAGAAATTAAATGTAAACGGCTCAGGAGTCTCTTAATATAAAAATCGTGGGATTATGAAATAAATTAATTAGTGGGGTTCAATCGGGTGGAGATTTTTCATTCTTAAGATGTCTTACAGATTATTACTATGAATTAATTTGAAGAATCCATTGGTGGAAATTCATTCCGAATTCGCGCTGACAAAAATTGGATTTAGATTGAAGTACCCAGTAACTTTTAATACGAAATAACTGAGGTATGATATAAATAAATTTGAAGGTTGATTTATTCAACTCTGTAGAATGATTGAACTAAATTGAGAACAAGTATATTTTTTGCAACCTATTGATTTATTTCTATGAAGATTCGGATTTTTGAATAACGTATTTCTCCCGTCGAGGGATTACCAGAAAATCTCTATTACATGCAAATAGTTACAGTTGTTGTGGTGATCTATAAAATCGTCATGTTAATTATAGCCTTAAATTTGGGGTGAAGTTTTAAAACAACGTACCTCACTTTCGTTCATTGGCGATTTTTCCAGAAATATCTCGGAAGTGAAAGGGGATAACATAATTTTAGTATTTACCTTTATAGGAATTCTTCATTAGCTCTGCAAAAATGATTATACATATACATATACGAGGTTTCGCTATCGGGCTTAATATCCGAAATATTGTGGAAAACCCCAGGGAAAAGATGAGTTAACTCACATCATTCGACCGCTTCATTGGCGAATTAATCAACTTTTAATTATATATTAATTAATTAATCAACGATACTTGTTATCGTCATTGAAAATGACGAAAAAATTGCAAATCAAAATAATACATCTTCTAGAGCGATCTAATTATGATAATGAAAACTTTATCAGAATTGCCAGGAAACAGTGTGATTTCAGAAGGACGATTTTTTGAATATAAATAGTCCACTGAAATAAATTGATATTTGCTGAAAATATATTATTTTCGTAGGGTATGTAACAAATACCTCTAGAAATAATATTTCCACAGAAAATTCCTGAAACATGTCAGAAAGTTATTTCTCCCTTTATCTTTTGTTCTTCGTTTCTCCATTATTAAACTAAATACACTTCGGTATCAATTCCTCAGTCTTGAGGTCAATAACCCCTAAATCCAAATACAAATGCAGGTTTCATTTCACTGGTCAATATTTCGAAAATATTGAACTGTATAAGTTACACTGAAATGCCTAGTCAAAAGTATTGAGTTGACTTTGATTACTTATTCTTTTTCTTAAAAAGAGCTCGAGAGGCTAATCTCAAAACACATGTAACTTCTCCTATGCCTGCGTACTTTTTTTTATCCGCAGAAAACCCATGGATATCCACGATGTGAGAGCATGGATACAACAATTTTTTCTCCATTGATACTACAGGATAACTTTTTTTATCGTTTAAGGCCCAGTTGGATTATCTCGTTACCTAAAATTGTGATGCATTCCTGTATGAAGTAGAGTTGCACCACATAAATGAATGCAGGCTGAAAAGAAAGTAAAAAAAATAGATAAAAAATATAGTCCGCGCTTTTTCATTGAAATGGAAGGATAATTGCACAAAAGCAGAAGTTGGATATGCCTGATGGGGGGGGGGGGGGGGGGGGGGGGGGGGATAGAAGGAAATTGCTTCCTATGTTCTTTGAAAAATTATTAAATATTTTTAAGATTTTTTTAGTTATAATTTCCTTACCTGATCATTGGCAGATGGCTTCGAATTAAATAGCGAAAAATTGAGGTGGCGATCAGCTATCACTTTGTCGAGTGAGAAGAAGAAGGGTAGAAGAAGTAGGATGAACGTTGCAGAGTTTAATTTTGATGTTCTGATGTTTTAAGCAAAATTGTTTTAGTATACGTTCATTCTACTTTTTGTACCCCCCTCATCATGCCTGCTAAATTGACCGTTGATCACCACCTCGATTTTTCGCTATTTAATTCGGAGACGTCTGCCAATTATGAGGTGAAGAAATTATGATGAAAAAAATCTAAAAAATGATTGAAAGTATGGAATAATTTACGTTTGGCATACTTCCCCTCCCTCCCTCCTACTCTCGAAGGCTGAAGTGACAGTTGATTGTCACCTTAATTTTTCTATATCTCATTCACAGACATCGGCCAATGATCAAGCACAGAGATTATAATTTAAAAAATCTTTAAAATATTTATTCATTTTCGAAAGAACGACTTTGTAAAATAATGCCCCATTTTAATGAAAAAGCGTGGACTCTATTTTTCTTTTTTTTTTTACTTTTTGCTTCCGAACGGAAGCATTGCGATCGTTCGATTTTTCGATTCTCTAATTTTGCCTGGAAATGATGTAGAATGATCTGAAACATAAAAATACCACGTTTGTAGACCGTGTGTGTATGTGATTATGGTCAGCTGAGGGTCAATTTTTATAAAAGAAGGAGTATAATTCGGTAAATTAATTCCCAAAAATCTGAAATTTGGGTAATTCATAGGTTCTAATATGGACTTCATCTGTGCTGAATTTCAGCCCGATCGGCCGAGTAGTTTTTGAAATATCTATAATTGTTTCTGAAAAGTTTTTTGGAAATATCTCAGAAACTATCCAACCGTTCACATTTCTCATTCTTTTGAAATGTTTGTCCCAATGTGCTCTATATGGGTCAGTCAGAATATATATATATGTTCTTACAAAGTTTTCGAGATATTTCAATTTTCATTTTTTTCAAAAAAATGCGAACTACACCGTCTCTCATTTTTAAAAATCAATCTATCAACTTGAAATTTGGCAGAAAGATTCCTCTTATGACTGCGATGGTTGGTATTGCAGATGGGCTAAATCGGATGATTCGTTCAGGAGATATTCAACTTTGTATCTGAAACGATTTTCTCAAATATCTCAAAAACGACACAACTGATTTTATTTTTCTTTTTTGCAAAATATTCGGTACATTATGCCCTAATTATATGAACCAAAGGGTTTTACGCGTTCGAAGAAAAATCTCAAGATATTTCAATTTTTATTTTTTTCAAAAAAATGCGAACTACACCCTCTCTCATTTTTAAAAATCAATCTATCAACTTGAAATTTGGCAGAAAGGATCCTCTTATGACTGCGATGTTTGGTATTGCAGATGGGCTAAATCGGATGATTCATTCAGAAGATATTCAACTTTTTATCTGAAACGATTTTCTCAAATATCTTAAAAACAACACAACTGATTTTATTTTTCTTTTTCGCAAAATATTTGGTACATTATGCCCTAATTATATGAACCAAAGAGTTTTACGCGTTCGAAAAAAAATCTGAAGATATTTCAATTTTCATGTTTAGAAAAAAAATGCGACGTACACCCTCTCTTTTCCAAATATTTGAAAATTTGAGAGATTACAGGTACTCCATTCGGAAGCCAACCATCAATGAAATTGATGGCAAAATAAAATTTAAAAAATAAATAAATAACATGTTAAGTAACAATCATATGTCTTCTACGGCTAGGAACGGCAAACTGCTTGTTTTTCAGCCTAAATATGTGGGGCAGTTCTGCTTCATACAGGACTGTACCAAAGCTTTAGATAAAATACAAGAAAACAAACTATATAAACGAGGTAACGAGAAACTCCAACCGGGCCTTAAGTGCTTTTTCAGCGTTCCTTTTAATTTTCTTTCGAATTTCACGAATTGTCACTGGCTTATTAACGCTTATTCAAAATTTTCTTTTCTGGCGTACTAATAAAAGTTGTTCAGCCCTTTGGTATAATCATTTATTTTTTCATATGCCACCACAGTTTGCTATTGATTGTTAATTCGAAAAAATTAATTGATTTACGAAAGATGTAAAAGTGGTTGCTCCCTATCGGAACTCTGACTGTGACCTGTGTAGTATCTTTAATATCACATCACAGGCAGAGTTCTAGTTAGGTGGTTGCTCTCGACACCGATTTAGAATAATTAATTTATTTCATTAGATAATTCTCCGTACTGAATTGACAAAACGTGATAAAAAAAATGAAAGCACGCCTTTTACAATTTTATTCAATAAAAAAAAGTTTATTTCTTAATATTTTGTGAAAAATGTTGTCATTTACATAGCAAATCTCTTGATTTATTGCCGCAATTAATAACTTTTTAAAAGTTGAATTTGACAACTCTTTACAACTCTACGTAAATGATTGAAATTCAATAATTCTTGTTTTTTTGATTTACCTGTTTCAGAAGTTAATATATTGGACTTTAGTGAGTCCCTATTATCACTGGAGCCACCATTATCTGAGAGTGACTATTCGTTTTCACTTGCAACCGAAGAGGGCCTTTCCGATCTCTTCGATTTCCCATTTTAGAATTTTTTAAAATCACCTGCATTCATCGAATGAATAGTAAATGAAATACAACAACAATTGGAGATAAATGCAAACTAGAAACAATCATGTGTCTTTTAACAATGAAAAAAAAACATGAAAATTAACTCTGAGTTCGTCTTCCCAACATTAAAAAAATCAGTGGTTTAAGAACGAGTGGTTAGTAAAATTTGTAAAAAAAACATTTTTGGCGTATTACTGTTATGAGTAATATTGCCCTCGCAATTGTTTCGTTAAATTTATATTCAAAAGCAAACATATCACGAAATAACGATTTTTCTTAATTCTGCAGATTTTTGTCGATTTGCCATAGAAAATGAGAATGAAAAAGATGGCAATCACAGAGGATTTGGAAAACGTTCTTTCAGTGCAATTATATAATTTATTAATTTAAGTTTATCGAATGAATTATTTAAATTTACTTCATTATCGAATTACCTGAGTGTAAGTTCGTAAGTTTTATTATTCCTCCAAATTTTGTACAAAATTAATTTTTTGACGTTTCAATTATTTATAAACATTTTTGTTTTTTTTCTTATGCTGTAAGAAAAACATGAAAAATGCAAAAACTTTCCTAAAACATGAAGAATTGTTCTGAAAATTAGTCTGATACCTGAATGATAATTAAATCTTAATTATTTATAATTAAAATCAATAACTAATTAATCTGAAGGAGACGAACTCAAAAGTCGTACAAAGAGTAAAAACAGAACATCAATAAAACATAATAAAAATAACTGGAGCAAGAAAAGTGGAAACAGGAGGAATTGCAGGGAAATAATTTCTTTGGATGATTAAAATCATTTTATTGTATTTGATTGAATCATTCGAAAAACTTATTATTTCCCGTTTTTCTTCTCATTCTTTTTCAGTTAAAGAAACGTTCTTTACACTATCATCTGGCATCGCCACATCGGTAGTTAATCTCGGTTGTCTAAGATAATTGTATATTTAAGAGATTTTTAATAACAAAGTGAGAGAATAATCACATAGCGATGGATTTTGCCATTAAAAATCTCTTAAAGGATGTACAAAATCTGTTGTACGTCCGAAGCCATAGTGCCTACACCATTAAAAAAACGGATGAATAAATTGTCACACACCTTTTACTGCACCTGTAAATAATTAATCATTTATACTTGTAATGCATTGATAATACAAAAAAAATAAATAGTACTAGGTATTAAGAAATGAAATGAGAAGAAAAAAACATTTTTTTTATTGAAAGAATAAGGAAGTTGGTGGAAAAAAATTAATACCTTGTATCATTCGTAAGATACACTCTATAAATTAGTTATTTTTAACTAAAAAGAAAATACAAATTATTTGATAAAACAAATAATCGACGAAATGTTAGTTTATATAGTTATTATATAATATAAATATGTAAATGTATATATGTCTGCACTTGTATAACGAGGGATGCCCATTGCGTTGCTCTAAGTGTACAGAGACGACAAGACGAATAACAATTTTTTGATGCAAAATTTTGCTCCCAGAAATTTTCCATGATTTTTCAATGTCACTTACGGTTAATTGTGCATCCCTTAATATTGCAATTTCTTTGTTGTTATATGGCTATTGATTTTTCTCGACTATTTAGTTTGATTATCTGAGTGTTGAGCTTGAAATGGTGGAAGTGATGGAGGGATGAGGAGATAAGTATCTTTATTATTGGTATATTTGATTATTCAATTATTTAATTGACGAACTAGTAGTGAACTAGCAGACAATTGGCAATAGTTGAGTTAAAAATTCATTTTCAAGTTGTTATTTTGGAGATATTTTGCAGGCAAAACGCTGAAAATATTAAAAAATAGTTCTTGTGCTGTGTTAAATATTATTTTTAAAAATCGACCATCAAAATTTTGGGATAAACCAATTTTCTGCATCTATGTTTATGAAACATTTCGGATAAAATGTGTTTGATATTAATAATTTTTTAAATTTAGACTTAGTCAATAATTGTAATATTTAGTAAATTTTCTGACTGTCTAATAATATTGAAACATATTTTTTGTAAAAGAATACATTACATACACAGGGAGGATTTTTCGATATTTTTCTCGTTGTCTTTTAAAAATATCTTCAAATATTCGATGAGTCTAATTGAATGAATGCACCGTAAAATCAAATGATGAGTTTACGAGATTTTCTATTAGGGTTTTCTTGAATTAGCAAAATAATTCTGAAATTTAAAAGCATCTCTTTATTAGAATGAGCTACAAAAATTTATTGCGATCCCCTCGAAACATTGAAATATTGGTAGTAATAAATATTTTTTACTCAGGTATAATGGAAGAGTGTTTGACCCACAATTACCTGTCAGTTGCAGTTTTTTCAACTACGTGTGTATGGGTATGTGTAACGAGCTGTATATGAGATAACTATTTGTCATCTATAACAAACTGAGAAAAAAGTTATTTCAATTTTTTTTACTGGTGATGACAAAATGAAGATTAATATCAGTCTGATGATTATCGATGATCAAATTGCCGGATATGTCATGTATATCGGCGTATCAACCTGGATGAAGCGAAGGAAAATATAATCTTATGTAATTCAAACAAAAATTACTGAATAGTTATTGAATTTCTCCCAGAAAAAATAAAAAATCATATCATCAACGAGATGAACTTGATGATTTTCTTAGGCGCCATAAAAAACCAAGAACTTCGTCATCTCATTTAAATCTGGGATGAAAAAAAAATAACACTATTTTATGAAAAAAAAAATTCAAATTTACCATTACGAAATTCCCAATTCTGTTTAAAGATTGGAGATAAAATCAGTAGGCGAAAAAAAATATGAGATTTACTTTTTTAGTATGAGCAATTTGAATTTTCCCGCGAAATAGGTAGCAATGGCGTTTTCCAATTTGCACTACCACTACGACCGCTACAAAAGCCTCGACTCTCAAGTTTCATTCGTTGTGAACGTCGTGAATCCTCGTAACGCGAATGGAGTGAAGAAGGGAGAGGAAGAGAAGGATTGGTGAAAAATTGCTGGCAAGAGAAAGAAAGGTAAATAAAAATGGAAAACATGTCGGCAGTTGGCATCTGTCGATAGAGTTAGGGCCTTGAGGTTGAAACACAAGCAAGCAGTGAGGGTGAACTATTTCAGTTGTATCAAAGAAAAAGAAACCACCGCTGGACGAATTTGTACAGAGAGGTAAATGATCAACTGGTGCGGAACTTTATCAATCAAATAATTCGTCAATAAATTTTTCATTAGTCAAATTGCAAAAACCATCAAACTATTCCGCTTTGTAACCCCCTAACATCAAAATTTTGTACATAACATTCCCCCACGCATCTCCCACTTTACCTTCAAAAATCTTTCAAAAATATAATGAGTCAGTAAAATTCACGGGAAGAAATAATCTCGAAATCCCTCCAAAAAATCGCCAACAGATTAAAAAAAAAACTTAAAATTTTCATCTCTGCAAACCGGTGTGTCAAGTGTTGTCAAAAAATCGCGGCGAGGCGGCACTGTATGTCACAATTGATTCAATTGTTAAATTAATTTTCAATTCAACGGCTTCATCGCAGAAAAAAATATCGAGAAACAATTTCCTAACTTAGAACCTTTAAAAGTTTGAAAATTCATCAAGTTCACGAGTAAAAATGGACTATTCGATCAGAAGCAATAATACGTGAAATATTTAGTGTGTGTGTAAGAGAAGAGAGAGATAAAAAAGGACAAAAGAGAAAAAAAAATAGTCGTGGGTTTTGTTAGTGCGACGCCGGTTGGAGTCGGGGGGATAACCTTCAAAATCGAAGCTTCCTTTCAAACCCTCGGGGACGAGCCTTCGATAGGTACGTGAATATATTTTTTCTCAGCGATTTCCATCGATTAATCATCGAAACAATTGTTATGGGGTATATTTTAGGGTGTGATTTTTAAGGGTGATTTTTTTTTGGCCTTTCAGAAATAATGAAGTGGCTCAGTACGAGCAACATCGGCGGTGAACCGGCACCACAAATGCAACTACATCATCCATCCGCCAATGGCCACATACCCACTGCAAGTTTTTACACATTTATTCTTTTATTTTATCCATTGTCTCTACTTTATCACAATATTTGTGGTTATTCATTTAGTGAAAAAGCTTGAGAACCTTGAGAAACAATAATTTTTTCGTCACAAATTTTTGGAGGTAAAACATTTTTTGCAAAAATCCCCTCATTTTTTTTCTTTAATGAAATTGCTGAAGCTTCGGGGGCTTTCTCAGCGGAATTTCACACGGATTTACCATTTTTATGAGTTGTGCTCGGTGTTTTCGTTTTTTATGATTATTTGGGGCTTTGTTTGTGATAAATGAAGGCTAATTTTTTTTGCTTGTGTGGAGTTCAGAGAAGTCCATGATTGAGGTTAGGTGCGATGCTGCTGTGAAATTTGATGCTACATGGTAGAAATTTAATTGAGAATGGGAGTTGCTTGGTTTTATGATGTCTAATGATTATGGTTGAGATAACTTCAAAGATGTTTTTATTGTTAATGAGAGGATTTAGGGATTCTGAAGTTTATTTAACATTGCTTTGTCAATTAAATGCTGGAGTTGAAGGGGAAATTTGATGATAATGCAAGTTCATATCTGTCGATCTGTCAAAAAAATGTCTTTGGAGATCTTATCCTCTAGTTTTTCACTGTTAGGAGATGATTATTAAATATGAGAACTTCTAATTTCCTTGGTGATTGGGATTGTTGTTGCAAAATGAGAAATATAATGTTGGATGACTGATAATGTGTCTTGAGTCGATAATTAGTATGTATTAGTATTAGTAATGCATTGATTTTTCAAACTTTCTTCAATGCTCTTCAATGCTCCGTTTTGGTTGAAAATCTGAACTCACGATTAATCGCCAATTCTTGGAGGATGAGTGGTAGAGGTTTGCTAAATAGTCTGACGTTTGTTTTAAGTTAAGGATAATACGATCTATTATTTAATTCTAATCGTGACAATTTTAATCAAGTTTTTAATTATTTTTTGTTTCTATGACATTAAAAAAAATAGATAAATGATGAAGAATAGATTCTCATCTATATAATTTTGAAAATTTCGATTTACTATCAGTTACTAAAAATCACTCTACTTTATAACTTACACATCAATACTCTGCAGATTATTTATACATAGAGCATAAATCACGATTATGGTTAAATTCTTATCTTCTCAGTATCTATAAAGCAAGTAATTTTCTGATCGAAAAGTAGTATGAGTTTCTTCCCACTTAACACACATATGTACTGAGCAAAAAAACGAACAGGTATTGTAGCAAACCTTATTGAGATCGAACAAATCGTTATTTGCAATTAATTAAAAAATCTTGTAAACATTTCAAAACTGTTTCAACGTTCTGGAATAGTTTCGGCCTACTCGAACTAAGATGGAATAATTTCTTTTTTATGTTATTCCATGATCAAAGACAAGAAACTAATCCTTGAATGCAACAATAACGATGATTTGATGAGAATCCTGTAACGTACGAACCAGATATTTCTTGGCAAACTTCGCTTTATGATAAATATTTTCATTTTGACAATTATTTATAGTGAAAGTTACAACGTCAAAGAAAAACTTTTTTATTTTTTTTCTCACGTGTTTTTTTTTTCAATAAACTTTCTGCACGAACACGTTAATTCTTGTATTAGTTTTATTAGGATTTTGTGTTGGATCTAATCGCATATAGTAATAATAATAATTTTATTATAGTTTTGAAGTATAATTGATGTTGTTTTCAGGACGTAGATCAGTGTGGACAGGTAATGGCAAGTGGTGATGCAGTGCGTCTGCAAGCCGGACAGACAAGTCAAATGGGCATCAATAGAGCCCAGGATGACGCTATGGTAGGCTATGGATTCCAAAGGCCAGCAGAGCCTGAATTTAATGCCCAGGCATCGACTTTTCAAACTAAACAGACTCCACGTGCTTGGGCTCTAGCAGATGATCCCATCATCGATAACGTAAGTTCTTAACGCCCTTTGAAATTTTCATTCTCACTTTCAACAGAAGATTTTCCTAAAATCAATATGGAAATAACTTCTTTCATCTTTAAAAGAATCGCCTTTATTCACTTATCTAAATCAGTGACGTCAGTTAGTATGAATTAAAATTCTTGCCAAGCCAAATGGAATATTGGATAAATTGAATATTGGAGAATAATTATTCCTTTTAAAAGCAATTAATTTTTGTTGGAATTCTTCATTTATTTTTTATAAACATTTCATCAGTTCATCAGTTTTCGAATTTTACATTATATTTTGGATTATTTCTTTGTCTTGATCATTCATTGTGGAATCTTGATTGAATTTCAGAGCCACGAGAAATGGAAATACCCAATGACAAAGCTCAGTGTACCACAACAGAGTCAACCACCTCAGTTTGGGCTCCAGGCGATGAATAATGTACATACCGTACCTTACGAACTTCATCCAATGCAACTCAAGGTAAATTGATGAACAAATATTCGTATCGACTCAGCAACATTTCTTGTTATTTTCATCAATATCCCCCATTTTGCTTTACCACCTAATTGAGTGTAAGATTTTTCGTGATGTTAAAGTAGTTATCGATATGAATTATTTCGTCAACTCATCTCAAATAAAAGATCCTTGGACATTTCTGGTTCAAATCATTTGCTTTTGCTTCTTTATCCACAACAAACTACGTCAGTTTTCACGTCTCACGGATTATTGCATTAATGATCTCACATTTTTAAAGAAACTAATGCATAAAAATTCATTTATTGCAATTGCTCTAGTGAATGAATTATTGCCAGACGGTTCCTTCCACACAAATGCCTATTTTTTGCATTATTTCTACTCAAGATAATGTAAATTTTACTCGAACCTTCTAGTGGAAGTTTTTAAAATGGCGCTTCACTACGTGAATACTATCTGTTGGGGCATTTTTTTCAACGAATTTCAATCTATGTGGAGTAGTGGAATAATCGCAGAAACGGTCGATTGTAGTCAATTTTTCAAATAGCATATTTTTTATCTTGTGTAAAACTTTCGGGCAAAAACAGATAACATAAATTTTTTCAAATTAACAAAATTTATCAATCACATGAAAAAAGTTCAAAGACTATTTCACTTTCTAAACATCGAAAATTTCTTTCTGCGCATTTTTTGAAAATATTTGGCGAGGGAAAAATTAAAAAGTTTAATGCGCCGAACTCGTTCTGTAATTATGCATGCAAATTTGCTTGCTGTATACTGCGAGCGATTTTGCAATAGTTAGAACAAAATTAACTGAGATGTCAAAATTCTCTTGAGAATATTATATATCGTCTTCTTTAATAATATCCTAAATAGTATTTGAAGTGGATTAATCATGGGTTAACAATTGCAGAGTGGAGGACCTGGAACCGAACACTTGGTTTATTTGAACAATCAGATGACCACTCAGCAACTCGCCCTCTTCCATCATCAGCATCAACAGCAACAACAACAGCAACAACAGCAGCAACAACAACAACAGCAGCAGCAGCAGCAACAACAACAGCAACAGCAACAACAGCAACAGCAACAACAACAGCAGTTCAGAAATGGCCAGGTAAGATATGTCTTTCGAATGAGTGCTTCTGTTCCCTCTTCGAAATGAATCGATCTCATATTATGCATCAATGAATCAACGATGAAGTTGCTGCGTGAACTCCATAGCCCTGGCACTCGAGTTCGTGACAGTATTTACTTGTTGAGAGACTACCGTGTAGGCGGTTTCAATGGAGGGCCCACGCATCCGAGTCAACCGATCGTTCATTAATAAATCTTTTTGGAATTTCAGATTTGCTTCAAGCAATCTATTATTTTTTTTCAGTACTAAAATTTAGATTTTTTGTGTCGTTACTGGAAAGTTGTGGATTTCTCGATCTGTTCTTTGTGTTTGTATCAGTCATTTAGAGAGGGACGAAATTTTAATAGATCGAGGGAGCGAGAGACAAGAGTTTCATACCTGACGTGAGAGCGATGAAAGTAATGAAGAAGTGGGAGATAGGGGCAGAATTAAAATTATGTCAGGGTCACTCTGAATTTGAAGCTCATTGCTGAATAGTTCACTTTGGAAGTTTGAGATTTAACTGAGAAAAAATTACTAGTTTGACTTGTTAGTAACAAAGAAGTCGTTAGTTGAATATTTAAAAAATGTCTTTAAATTCAGAATTTTTGTCACGAAAATAGGTTGGGCTGTTTTACACAATATGTAAGCTACGTTTTTGCGATATCTGTTGTTTACTCCCCAAAAATTTTACGTCTGCACAAAATTAGAAACAATAGTTTTTCGTTTCGGTCCTTCAATAGCTAAAGACTTGAAATTACTGCTTTAAAAGAAAATCAGAAAATAACAGTTATCTGTTCACATTCCTATGTTTTAGGAATAAAATATTGCTCGATAGAGTTCTTTATAAAAGATATTTCTTGTAGCGAAGTCAACACCCTTGTGATGTTTCTTGAACCAACTATTTCATTATTATTATTGAAAACAGAATGATTGAATATTTATAATTTGGTGTTAGCTATTAATATTTTATATTCAGAACATTGTTCCATTCAACTTTATTTCGGTCTGATATCAGTTTATTGGAGAATACGTTCAACCCATGTGGAAATTCAAAATTTGTGTGAAGGATTTTTGTTGATTACTTTTATGCTTTTCTCAAATGAATGCTCGGATACATATGAAAATTCCCGAAAATTGATTAAAAACTAAAGAACTTTCTATTTTCACTCAAGAATAACTGATTACAGGTGAAAATGTCAAGAATATTTTTATAATATTTAGTTTATTATACAAGTTTTTTTTATGTGATTTTCTGAAGCGACAGGTCCCCTAGGTAATTAAACAATTAACGAAGCTATTAATTCTAGCTTGCGCAATTGACGATTTCAGAATAATTGGATTCTATTAAATCGTCACCGGTTTATCCCTGAATATTTTTCTCATCTTTATGACAACTATTTTTTTTCAAGCTTTGTTAGAAAGTTTTAATACCCCCAAAATTATTTTTCAATTTTCCTTCACTGATGTTCAAAAACCTCAAAAATACCTCCGAATCTAAAAATAGTAATGTATTTATTTTTATACATGTTCTTCTTGGTATTTATTAAGAACATACATTAGTTTCTGTCATTTCGACGATTAGAACAAAAACTGATGTGAAGCGAGCTAAAATCTACTGATCCTACAACATCATCTCTCATTACTCAGATAATTCTTTGAAGGGAGACTGAAATAAAAAAACGACTTTTATGACAAACTCGCCCTCATTCAAAGAATTTCTCCACACTACTGTGAATTTTTAATATCACGGGTTATTGAGGTGTGGATTTCCACTAGTTTCTCTTATATCCCTTGGATAGTATACCTAACAATTAATATCAACAGAATGAGTTTTAATGCGCGTTTACAATTTCCGAAGTTAAAAATGAAGAAATTGAAGGAAGATTCTGGTGTTTTTAATTTTTAAGATAGACTTTTTTATTTGCTAATATTTCCAAAGAATGCGTATCAAAATTATCCGATATTTGCTAAGCGAATTAGTAAAAAACTTTATTCCCTCAATGTGAAAGTGTTTCTCTTCAACGATAGATTTTGTCTAACTGAAAATCTTGCGCGTGTAAAATTCTATTTTTGAAAAGTATTACGCAATTGTTTTTTTTCCAAAAAGCTATCAGTATTTTCACGTCAAATATTACTTCCCAGTTCCTAAAGGCTTGCCATGGAAGCCAAAGATTCTCACTTCAATTATGCACAATATCAATAGCATAAGTGCATTCTAAATGAAGAGAGGTAGCGCAATTTTTATCTTATTTTTGTGAGTCCGCATGTTGTTCTACAAAAAAGATTCTTATGGAAATCGATTAGTCTTTTTTCATTTACGGGATATTTATCACTATTATTCTAGTCTATTCATTTACTACAGAATTCTCAACTTCATTGTCAATGAAAATTAGAAAAAACAATATGAGAGATAGATTAAATGTATAACTCTCCATTTACATTCATTTGAGGTTGTGAAAAAAAATCATGCCTCCCTGCAATTTATATTATATTCTGCAAAAGCGTCATGTAACAGCTTTTCTCCAACAAGCTACTGGAGAATATACCTGGTGTTATTACTTAACAAGAAAACCCTCTATATCTTTTTCACGTTAATTATTAGTTATTAAAATTCTGACTTTGCGGGAGCACTCAAGATCTTATTAGAATTATGCGTAATATTTATAATATTTATAATTCACAGTAATAATTCAGTCGTGAAATGCTAAAGGGTAATAAGTAGACTTGTTTCGTAGGTACAGTTACAAAGGTGTATAATAATGATCTATGTAAAAAACACAAATTTTAAAAATATGCTCCATAATGAGAACGTTAATAAAATACCGCGAGCCGACAATTATTAATTAAATTGGGGATATTGTTGTATGTGTTTTCGGAAATATAACATACAAGTATTATGTTTCTTTCCATTTCGGTTTTTTCCCGCTGGCTTCACAATTAATTCGAAAATCATTCTCAATCGACATTGCCAATGAAATTTGCAGATAGAAGTACGAGAACCAGGTGGAATTTTTAGTTCCCATTAATTTCAATTTGTAACATAGCAAAATTATCGTTACAACATTTTTCATTGAACCCAACAATAACTATAAGATTACAAAAATTACAAAAATTTGGCTATGTTTATGAGATTCAGAAATATTTTTCAAAGAGTTGTCTATGAATTGAATGGACTTGATTCCACAATCAATTCAATCTCCACATTCATTGTTGATGAAATTTGAATAAAAAAATATGAAAGATGAGTGAAGTGGATTCCCATTGATTCGAATTATCAAAAAAAACATTATGCCAATTTGAAATTGTATTCTGAAAAAATGTCGTGTAATGGCTTTAATGAATCATCAGATAATTAAACGACAAGTATTCAAGGAATATCTCTGAATCTAAGAGACGTAACGAAATGAGTCTGAGAACCTTTCCATAGGAGTCAACATCAGCTATAGACAAACTAATTACAAAAAATTCGCTATCTCTCTTAGATTCTGAGATATTTTTTAAAAGTCTAGGCTATCAATTAAATTGATTTGCCTCAGCAATCAATTCCATCGGCAAGTTCGTTATTAATTTGGAAATGACAATACGAGACACAGGTGAAGTGGATTCCCATTGATTCGAATCAGCAAAAAAAAAATTAAAAAAAAACAACTCCACTCCCTTTGCAACCCACGTGTATTTCCTTCTTTACCCACAACGTGTCGCTCCAGTCAAGGCGTCGTTCTTTGTTTCGCCCCGGAGTCAGTCTACCATCCACACGAAACCCAGTGAGACCGGCTCATCATTGTTGTCTCTAATCAATCACAACCAAAAACTGAGAAAAAACCGATAACAAATCGCCGAGTTACAAACAAAAACAGTGGTACCGCTCATAACCGTCTCGTAACAAGTGCATTAGACCTCTCGCGCCAGTGATATATTTCGAAGATAGGGCGAAAGAAACCTCGGTGAATAAAATTTCATTTCTACAAAAGCGAAATTAAATACGAGTCATTTTGATAAATCATTCGCAATGAAAGTTTGAAGCTGAAACTGTCCGTTTTATCAATTATGTCAAAACGGACGGTGGAATAGAAACGTAAACAGTGAATTGACGTGTGTTAAAACGAACCAAAACATCACCTCAACATTAATCAGTTATTATTGAGATCATTTATCTATTTCGTTAATTGGTAAATTTTGCCTGAACATTCAAGAGTTTTATTGAATTCGGAGTGGATAGAATCGAGGATTCCCAAGTTGGTGAATATAAAACGAGACAAAAAGTGCGAGTTTGTTCTCTATTGAGAAACCTTTTTTTTCATTCAGTTCGAAGGAGAATTCATTTGTGGTGGATTGTCGATAGTTCAGTGGATAATAACGATGGTTTTTCAATAATTAGAGGGAGGGGGATAAAACGTGCTGTCAAAAGTATTCCGACAAGAGTAGGGAATTGAGAGAGAGAAAAAAGAGGCTGCGACTGCTCATACCTCAACTCAGTCATGGACGAACCGTGTTTTGCCCCCTTCTTCTTGTAAATTAAAAAACTATCAAAAACCTGCATTTCCTTGAAAAAATCAATCCAATAAAAGATTCAAAAAATTATCGCTAAATTTAAACCCTTCAGCAATTACTCCAGTGATTACTAATTATTGATTCATTGAAAGTGCAGAGAACGCGTTATTCACCGGTCAATAAATTGATTTATATATTAACAGTAAATAAATGAATAGTGGAGGGCTTTTCTGGCTGTATTGTGGGATAAGTGATTGTGGTGATTTATTTGGAAGTGGAAAATACAAATTTTAAATTGACTTTTGATTTTTTGACGTTTGAGGCGTTTGAGTGTGACACGATTGGGGAGGGCTGCACTCTTGGGGCTTTTGAACCTGTTGTGATCAATTTTGGTTTGTGTCGATAGATTTGCATTTTTGTGCTTTTTTTTTGTAAAACAACGGGGAAGAGTGAAGTGGATAAATTTGATACGGTGGATAGTTACGGAGTTGGCTACGGTCAGGGAG